CAGACAATGGGCTAAAAATCTAAAAAGAACAAGACTACAAAGCACGTTGCAGTTCGACAAGTTAGCATTATTCAATAGTATGAATGGTGCTTAAATGAGAAAAATACGTTCAGAGATTCAAATAGCGGATTTTGTAGAGAATTCAACTCTCTATCGAATGAGCCTAGAATCTACTGTTTGGACCATTGAAATGTGCCTGAAAAAAAAAGAAGAGAAGTGGCCGATTTTATCTGGCGCATCCGTTATAGGATAACTTGTTAGCGTTGTGATATGTACATATATAATCCATTTTTAGGTCTTAATGCAATTTTTAAATCAGGCACAATATTTTGTCCTGGAACTAATTCGAAATTAAAACGTTGAAGAATCATCGATAGCATAATTTTACTTTCTTCCATAGCAAAATTCTAGAATAATAATAAAAAAAGAAAACAGAATGAGAAACAGTTGTGTTTTTATTTATTTTATTTACCTGTCCGATACAGTTTCTTGTTCCAATACTAAATGGTAAATAACTGTATGGATGTCTATATAATTTTTCTTCTGGATTTAAAAATCTTGTTGGATCAAATGTTTCAGGATTAGTCCATCCTAATTTATCTAATCGATGGATAACCATTATTGGAATTAATACAGTTGTACCTTTTGATATGAATATTTTTGTATCATTTTGATTATCGTGTATTTCATGATCAATAATTGCTTCACGATCAATTAATGCAACAGGTGGAAAAATACGTAATGATTCTTGTAATATGGCTTCTATATATTTTAGCTGTGATAAATTTGTAGCTTGTGGATATAATTGATTACCAAGAACAGATTCAATTTCTTCTCTTGCCTTGGCTAATACATCTGGATGTTTTGATAATTGATACATTGTCCATGTCATTAAGTTAGCTGTTGTTTCATGACCGGCAAGAACTAAAATATTTTAAGAAAACAAATCCTAGTAAAAACCTTAGATACTTCTTAAAATTAGCTTAATAAGATCTTATCCT